AAAAAAATAAAAAAAATAAAGAGTCTGTCTTTCTCCCATTAATATTTCTAGGTCCTTTGTCAAAGATGGGGTGTCTGTAGGCTGAGACAATTATATTTGGGTTTTCTCTTCTAATGCATTTGCCCATGTGTCTCTCATTGTCCCAGCCCCAGGCTGTTTGGACTACTGTGGCTCTGTAGTAGTGTTTTACATCAGGCAGTTCTAGGCCTCCTGCTTGGTCCTTCTTTTTAAGAAGCCCTTTGCTTATTTTTGATCTTTTGCCTGCCCATATTAAATTGGTTATTAATTGTTTCCATTTCTCTTTTGTTTGTTTCTTAACACTAATGACACATTTATTCTCTTAGTTTTTGTATACACTTTTAACTTTATTTAGTTGAGATTTAAAATTATAACATCTTTCCATATTTCATTCACACCAAGTAGAACTGTCCAGTTGCTACCATAATTAGTTTCCAATCATTCTTTTTCTTTTTTGTTGTTGTTGTTGTTTAAAATAATTTGTTTGGTATTGGAATCGGAATCACATTGTATCTATACATTGTTTTACGTAGTATTGTCATTTTCACAAGCATAGGATAGTGCTCCATTTTTATAGGTCCCTTTCAGTTTCTTGTAGTAATGGTCTATAGATGTCTCTGCATAGTTCATTTGTTTCATTAGTTAAGTTTATTCCTAAGTATTTCATCTTCTGTGGTTATTAGAAATGGTATTACTTTCTGAATGTTTTTTTTTCATGATTCTCTTCGCTGCCATCCAGGAAAACAAACAAACAAAAACTGAAAAATGCTCACTTTCATGGAGTCCATTTATGCTCATTATGACCCTATAAAAAAAGAATAGAACTTCCCTTTGAGTTTCTGAGGCTGTAACTGTTCAGGGCAATAGAAAGGCCCATCAGTCTTCCATGAAGCAGTTGGTAGCTTCAAACTGCTGACCTTGTGTATCAGAGCCCAACACATAACCATACCCCAACAAGGATCCCACAAAAGGTAAAATAGAGAACATTAATTAAGACAACTCAATCATGTTAAAAAACAAACAAACAGTTGCCACTGTTTTGTTAGACTTTGGTTTGGATCTCCTACTTTGAGGGTGTCCTTTGAATGGTGGCTCTTGACTACCACCTATTTGCCATTTTTATGCTCTTTTCTTCTGGAGTAAAACAGTGTTTTGGGGCAGGAGGCTTGCTATTCGAGTAGTGGATGCTTCCAGGCACTTAATCAGGGCTAGGTTTGCTAGCCCATGGGACTAGAGCTGAGCCCCTTCAGGCTGAGTGGTGGGCGTTTATTGACAGCACTAAAGGCGTTCTATAACATTGATCAAGCAGGGGAGAAGACAAGGAGTCAAAGAGCTGAGAGAGCAAAAACACGAGGTGCCTGCCTGCAGGCTCAGCTGAGAAGAAGGTGACCTGACTAGAACGGTGACTAAATTATACCCTGTGAAATTCTCCAATCAATCTTATGACTAAGTCTTGTCTGTATGTTCTAGTTGGTCGTTACAATCTATGATCAATTACCGACAGAGACAGAGTACTGTGGAAGAGCAGCTGCTGTCAGAAATAGTAAAGAAGGTTGAATGGTGGAGGTATGCCTCCTACGTATCATTCTTGGGCTGATAGGGAGTTTGAGTCACCTTCCGTCTTGTGAAATCAGAGGAGGTCAAGCACTACTCCATGTCCTGATTACAGTTGGACAAAGAAAGAAGCAGAAAGGGAGTGGAGTTCTATCCAGCGGGACGGAGGAATGGCAGGTAAATCTGTTTCATGATGTTTTTATTCCATGTGTAATGTACCTAAGTAATGTATTATGCACAGATATGGACGGAATGTGTTCTGAGTATTTTCTGTAGGAGAAGGAAATGAGCAGAGTCAGGGAGGTATGTATATCAACTTTCTGAAGGCAAAAACACCTTGAATCCCCAAACTCAGGGAAGTAAAGTCTAGCAAATAGGAAGAATAACAGGTGTAACACGGCTTCAGTAAGTTTGTGGGAAAATCCCACTGTCTTTCAATTACATTTTTTTCATGTAGTTTCCCAAGTCCCTCAATTTACCACGTTATCCCATCTCAGTAATATCTTTTTCCCTGTTGCTGTCAAATCTTATTTGCTAACTTGATGTTCTCACACACTCTAAGATTGATGGAACACTTCCAGGTGCTGTTGATGCATTAAGTGTATGATCTATTTAACTTATATTTGAATAAAGAGCCGATGAAATAAGTCACCAAGTTCTTGGGGGGAATTAAAAACATTTTTTTGACTTTATTATAAAATACATAATTTTTAACAATCAGAGTTGGTTGCTGGGGTTCTTGCATTCCCTATCAGGGTACATTTTATGGAATATATCTCTGTTGTTCTGCGGGAGGCGTCAGATATCCTGAAAACGGTGCAGTAGGTGCTGTCTCTGCCACATGAGGATTCGAGGGCATGACAAACACAATCTGTGAAATCAATCAGAACATTGCAGGTGAATCAACCAATTACCACCCAACCTCGTCATTATCAGACTCCCCTCTTTCTTTTCTTAATCTAGTTTCAGCATACAACTGGCTGAGTTTCTTGGATCAAGTTAAACCAAATGAGCCCTGTAAAATAACTTTAAAGAAAAAGAGCCTTTTACTCTCCTGATGCCCTCCAGGAAGTCGTAGCCATGAGGTCCACAGTTAAGCGGAAATGAATTCTGCCATGTGCACATAGAAAAGATTATAAACTTCATATGAGACTAAAACTCTAGCCAACACTTTGACTGCAGCCTCAAAAGACGGCAAGCAAGGGACCTAGCTACACTGTGCTACTGACTACTGAAAACTAGGAGATAGTACATATGTGTTGTTCTCAGTCTCTGTGTTGTTCAGCTGTTCTCAATCTATTGTCTTCTCAATCTATTCCACTCCAATAAAAAAGGAATACAGGTATTTCTAAGGGAAGCCCAATACTTACCCCACCAGAGTTACAACAGGCTACTTTGCATCCAAAGGCGGAGAGGGACACAGCAACACAGAACTGCAGCACACTTAAAACGAGCACTACACCATCCATACCCTAGAAGCAGATCCATAACAAAGCAGCATGAGAATGAAGAGGAAAAGTCCCAAACCCTGATTACTCAGGACAAGACCAAAAAGGGGAAAGGGCTGGCCAGGGGTTGAAAACAAACTGGCTTTGTCCAGTTTGGTCATTACTTGGCCTGGTGAATGCAACTTATTCTCTACTTTCCTCACTGATAAAATAATCATGCCCCCTTATCCCCTCCGTATACACTACATTCCAGACAACACAGAAGGTGAAAGCACATCAGCCGAAAGGGAAAGGGATGATAAATCTCCTGGTCATTGTAGTCTTTTCAAATACTACAAATTCTGTACATTGACATCATAATATGAACCCATATCTTAGTACTTGTACATAGAAAATGGTTCCCCCAAAGGGCATCATGTCCTACTCCCATAATCTGTCAAGGTGTTCAATTACATGGCAAAAACTGCTCACCAAATGGCTTTGGGCTGTGGGTATTATTGTTTAGTTGGGTCCAGAGTAATTTATAAGTATTCATATAAGTATATGTAAGAGGCAAAAGAGTCAGAGAATTGAAGACTGCACTGTTTGCTTTGAAAATAGAGGAAGGGTCCACAAGCCAAGGAATCAAGGGAACCTTTAAGAACACAGGGGCAGTGGAGAGTAAGAAACTCAAATTCTCCTCTGGAGTTTCTAGTTAAAACAACCCAACAAAAAATGTAACTCTGTTAGCATCTTAAATCTAGCTCAGTGAACTCAGCCTCCCAACCTCCAGATATATAAGGTAATGAATTTGTTTTAATTAAGATTGTGGTCATTTGTTTCAGGAGCCATTAAAAAAATGTAATCATGCACACTGAATGTATCTATCTTTAATCAAGATCCTTGGACAATTGGCTTTAGTTCTAATCTTTAACCCAAACACGTGGTGGAATTTGAAAGACACTGGGAAGTGCTCTTATTCCTAATAATCTTACCCTGATATAGGGTCTGAGTTTTTTCGGTTTAATCTTTCTCTCCATGCTTTCTACCTCTCCCGCTCCTCTGACGAAGCCCATAGAGAAGGACCCAGAATGTAATACAGATATATTTGTAATTCATGGTTTATTTTATTCATTCATCCTTTGAGCAAGTATGTATTCAGCACCTCTCTCTTGGGTCATGGTGGTAAGTACTGAAGACATAGGAGAAAACAAGACAGACAATTTTCTTGTCTTTAAGGATCTTACATAGAGGAAGGATTCAACCGATTCAAACTAGGCAGAATGGATACCTGATATTTTTTGTTGATTTCAGGAACTGGTTGTTCAAATGGTACTTGTAATCAGGGATTTCTCTAAAGTAGTCGACTGGGCAGTTGCCCAATGTGGAAATCACAAATTGACAGTCCTTTTTTTTTTTCCTAACCGTTCACCTGGGCCACAGTGTATTCTAGCACCCATTGTAATGTTCATTCTTTCCATAGTCATAAGCTATTAGAAGGAACTATGTTAGTAATATTTATTCTTTTCATAAAAATGGATATTTTTCATGAAACACTATGTTTTTATGCCTTTGTGCTTGTTATTTCAGTAATCACACATATACTATAAAGAGAAAAAATATCACATCAGAGGGTGACACACTGTCATTGATTTAAGTTTTCTGTTATGTTCTAAATTCTCCAGAAATATGATGAATGAATTATGCGATTCCTGAATGGTCAAAGAGCTAAAAATGTTGTCAGTGAAACTGCTGTAAGTTCAGCAGAAGTAGAAAGGGCTTTTCAAAGAAGAACATAATATTTTCAGAGAAGAGAAGTGGCCCATTTCTATTGTCAGTGAAAATGACTGTTGTCTAATTGGTCTTCCTCTAAAGAATTGGGGTCTTACTCCTACAGTGAAAAGGTGGTGTAGAATAAATCACACAGTGATAACATTTGGATAAAAATGAAGAACATTGCAAATGAGGACACAAATCAAGAAGCAATATGGAAATACCTTAAATAAAAGTTTTATTGGTTTGGGGTAGGTATTATTTAATATATTTTATTGATATTTTCAAACCCTTTCTTATAATATAACCAAGTTCCGTGTACCGCTTATGTTGTTCTTATTTCAGTATTAACTATATGAAATAATAAACTACCTTTAGATCATTTTTTAATATACGAATGATGGTCATTCGGGCAGCAAATTGGTCATTAAATTATTTGAATCCCACCACTGATTTTACCTTCTAAAGGACTTGGCAAAGTTAGCAAAGTTTTTCTATAAGGGTCAGACAGTAGATATTTAAAGCATTGTGGGCTCTAAGTTATTAGTTGCAACTACTCGACTCTCCCAAAGTAGCACAGAAGCAGCCATAGGCAATATGTAAAGAAATGGGTGAGACTGCATTTCAACAAAACTTTACTTACAATTAGTGCCAGGCTAGGTTTCTAGCAGCAACAACAACAACAAAAAGTGGCAAATAAATACACATTAGATTGGGCCACCTAGAATTTCTAGCTTTGAAGTCAAGCATGGCTTATCACTGCAATTTTTTAAGCTTCTGCCTAATGATCCCAGTAGTGTTCTATCTAGCAACACTTTTCTGCAAAGAGCTCACCATTTTCTAACATAATTTAACAAGTGCCATATATACTCGAGCATAAGCCGACCTGAATATCAGCTGAGGCACCTAATTTTTCCACAAAAACTGCATTGAAAATGTGCTGAAATACTCAACTTATACACGAGCATATAAGGTGCTTTCAAAGGGTAAACCCTTGGACACTTTGAAAAAACCAACTGTAGGATGAAGACCATGATGACCACAATGATAATGATGTTGGTATGTTCCTCTCTGGAGGATTAAGGTATCCTGAAGACATAAACACGGTCCCTCCCTAGGTCTTCCAGAGTACTGACTCTAGGATTGAGTACAGCACATACTTACTGCCACTCAGTCGAAACTAACTCATAGTGATGCTGTGGGACAGAGTAGAACTGCCTCTGTGAGTTTCCAAGACTGTAACTTTTTATGGGAGTAGAAAGCCCTGTCTTTCTCCCATGGAGTAGCTGGTGGTTTTGAACTGCGGACCTTGCAGTTAGTACAAGCCCAATGTGTAACCACTGCACCACCTTAAGCTCCTTAAGCATAAGCTATAGCTTCTAGTACGTGTGGGCTGAGAATGCAGAAGCCGAATTAAGAAGATACTTAATACTTCAGACTCCAGGAAGTTCCTCTTTTTAAAAAAAATGTAATCACTTTATTGGGGGTTCATACAGCTCTTATAAGAATCTATACATCCATTGTGTCAAGCACATTTGTACATATGTTGCCATCCTCCTTTTCAAAACATTTTCCTTCTACTTAGTATCAGCTCATTTTTCCTCTGCCCCCACCCTCCCACCCTCATGACCACTTGATAATTTATTCATTATTATTATTTTCGTATCTTACACTGACAGCTGTCTCCCTTCACCCACGTTTCTGTTGTTTGTCCCCCCCTGAGAGGGGATTATATGTTGATCATTGCCATCAGTTCCCCTTCTCCCCCCACCTTCCCCCTACCCTCATGGTATCGCTATTCCCATTATTGTTCCTAAAGGGTTTATCTGTCCTAGGTTCTATGTGTCCAGCTCAAAGCTGTACCAGTGTAAATGCTCTGGTCTAGCCGGATTTTTAAGGTGGAATTGGAGACATGATAGTGGGGGGGGGGAGCATTAAAGAACTAGAGGAAAGTTATATGTTTTGTCGGTGCTAGCTGACACCCTGGCTGGCTCGCCCCTTTTTGCAACCCTTCTGTGAGGAGATGTCCAATTGTCTACAGATGGGTTTTGGGTTTCTACTCTGTGCCCCCACTCCCCCGCCTCCTTTGCATCAATATGATTTTTGCTCTGGATCTTCTGAGGCCTGACACCTGATCCCATCGACACCTCATGATCACACAGGCTGGAGTACTTCTTCCATGTGGACTTTGCTGCGTATCAGCTAAACGGCCACTTGTTTATCTTCAAGCCTTTAAGACACTAGAAGCTATATCTTCTAGTAGTTGGGCACCATCAGCTTTCTTTACCACATTTATTTACTCACCCCTTCTGTCTTCAGTGATTGTGTCAGGAAGGTGAGCATCACAGAATGCCAGGTTATTAGAACAAAGTGTTCTTGCAATGAGGGAGTACTTGAGTAGAAGCCCAATGTCCATCAGCTACCTTAATATTTAACATATAATATATGTACATAGATCTATGTCCCTATAATTATATATAAATATATTATCATATGTCCATGCCTGTATTTATACCTCTATAAATGTCCTTTGCCTCCTAATTCTTTCCCCTATTTCCTCCAGGAAGTTCTTATGGATGGTCTCTGGTGTAAGGATGGGCAGGGGAAACAAATTCTAGAATCTGCCATGGTGTCTTGAAGAAGGTGTCTGAGATAAAAAGCAGGACAAGGTACATAGTTTATATGGCTGAAAGATAAATTAAAATGCAATCCTCTATGTTCAAAAATGATTGAGAATTGCAAGGGATCAAAAGAAGAGGATCACACCAATCACAGGTCCTTCAGAGGGCAGGGCCCTATAGAGACATCAAGGAAGCTGTAATAGTGGCATAATCTCATGTCAATTTGCAAAGAGGTAGAGTCTGGCTTCTCAATCAGGTCATAGCAAATAATGCTTCTGTGTGGGCATTCTGGGAATGCCTGTATTCCTCCCTGGAGGCAGGGGATACACACTCTCTGCTTCGTCTTCCTGTTGACAAGACATATGGAGCTATGTTGATGGCAGCCAGAGCCTTGGAGCTGAAGAAGCCATGTGGAGACACCTGCCAGTGCTGAGAGGCGTCCACCGCCACTGGATCCACAAGACTTTCCACCCACTGGCCTGTGTTCTTCCTGTATTCAGAATTATCACATGGCTGCATGAGTCTGAGGAGGAAATTATGGACGAGTATTGGAACATATGGGATAATATCAGAGTTATGGACTTGATCTGGACTGGGCTTGGAGTTTTTTTAATGTGCAATTGCTCTTTGATCTGAAGTTCTCTCTTATACACGAGTGTCTTGTTTCTCTAGTCAACCTGGACTAACACACAAGTCATACCCATTAAGTGAGTCAAGTATAATTGGTTCCTTAAAGTCTCTAAATGTGGGCACTTCTAAAACTGATCATAACATTGCTCTTTAGAATAACAATATAGAGCAATAGTAAGTGACAACAGAGAATAAGAAGCAGAAGGTCCCAGACTCAAATTCGGTTCTTGCCAATTTCTAACTCTGTAAACTGAGAGAGGAAGCACTGGTAGCTTAGTGGTTCCAAGTTGGCCTGCTAACTACAACATCACCAGTTCAAAACCACCAGCCACTCTGAGGAAGAAACATGAAGTTTTCTACTCCCGTAAAGAATCACAGTCTCAGAAATCCAGTGGGGCACTTCTATTCTGTTCTATTGGACTGTTCTAGGGTCAAGATGAATCAGAATCAAATCAATGGCCATTAGTTTAGTTTCAGGTCATCTTATGAAAGCTTAAGTTCTCTGATGAAGAGATTTAATCTTTTCTTTTTTAAGAAAAATGAGTAGCAAAGCATAAAAGTTATTTACTATAAGAATGTCTAGAAATTTCAAGGAGAGAGAAAATATTTAGGAAAGTTGCCTCCAGGGTTTATTTCATTGTGAATAGTTAGCTCTGGAGACATCAGAAGTTGGGAGTAAACAAAAGCGAAACAGTTGGTCTATATAATAAATAAGAACAATGCCGAGGTCCATGTTTAGCTGAGGACAGGTGACGATGAGAATGAGATGGAAGGAAGAACTAGGCACCTTGGGGAAATACTGATTTAGATGAAGCAATGATGACAGAACACCCAATGGTGTTGAGACTGGCCAAGGGACTTTTTAGTAGCAAATATTTACATTTATGAGGGGACTGCAAAACATTCCATTATCTTCATTCCATTTACCACCAATTTTTGAAACATTCTCATGCATTTCATGCTACAATAACCAACTCATCCACCACACCTCCCCCTACGTAGACACTCATTCCATAAATGAAAACTTCAAGGCCCTTTACTACCTTCATCACCTTTTTATAAATGATTCTCCTGGTTTCCTAGTACTGCAATGACAAAAATTACTATAAAGAACAAGAATGTATTATCTCATCACTTAGGAGGCTAGAAGTGCAAATTAGTGTCTCTATTCTCATCATAGTATCTCTATTGGTGAATACTTTCTTATTGATAGCTCTAAGAGTGGTTCTTGACATTCCTTGGCTTATAGGTGAGTCTTCACATGCAATTTGCCTTCCCTCTGTGCCTTTGTGTCTCTTGTGTTTCCCTTTTATAAGAGATCACTCAGAAGGGATTAGGTTTGGGATCCACCCTCCTCTGCTATGACTTTATGAACATAACAAACGAAGAACCCTATTGCCAAACAGGGCCATACACACAAGTACTGAAGTTAGGCTTTCAACATCTTTCAAAATTCTGTCCATAGCAATGTTCATTTGTAGACTGAAATTTTAGAATATAATCCACCTGAGGGCAAGTGGGACAGAAAGGTTATAAAATACACACAAGATAGAGAATTTGCCAAGATATTGGGGATAGAAGTGATGAGTCATACAAGAACATCGAGAGATATTGGATGGGACTCTGAGGTACTCATCACCAATAGGATAGGGATCAAGGTAATTTTATATCATTTAGAGAAACAGGTCCTCCATAAGGAGCTCGATCAAGAAACCCTGGCGACACAGACTGACAATTGATTTCTATTTTCTAAAGGAATAAGAGCATATACTGATCATAGTTGTGAAATAAAGAAGGGTTGTATGGAAAGGGCCCAGTGCAACGACTGTTAGATAGTAAGTGTTAAATGAATCTGAGCTTTCCCCCCCCCACATTGCCTAATGACATATAAAGAATAATTAAAGAGAGATGGGATTCTAAAACCTAAATACAATTTACCGTATTTCTCAGTCACTTCAAAGTTCCTAAAATCATCTAGGAATTACAGAATATGGATCGTGACTATTGCCTGAGCCTGGAATCCCAGGCCCTACTTCCATCCTAGTCCCCCAGGAAAAGAAGATGCACTCACCCTTAAAATGGATGAGACCAAGGCACAATTTTCTGGCATCGTTTGGTAGCTACAGTAAGAGTGGTGGTATGGAAAAGAAATCAAGCTGATTGCACTGATTATGATCCCAATGGCAGCCAAGGTGGAGCTGGCGATATTCAGTCCTAGGCTACCTTGAATCTAAAAAGGAAGGAAAAATCTATTGAGCAGCCCAGTGACAGCCTCATCTTGGTCCCCAACCATCTCACCCACTTCTTTACCCCAACATAACCATCTCTAGCAATTGTCTCCCAATTCCATTCCTTACCCATAAAATAAAAACACAATAAAATAAAAACAAACCCATCATGATGAAATTGATTCTAGCGCTCCATAGGGCTATTTCAGTTTTTAAAATGTTGATGTTGTTGAGAATATACTCCGTGAAATATCAAATCAACCATTTCTATATGCACAATTCTATCTGTACATTTATTGCATTCAGGTGTACAACCATTGTCACCCACTTTTTCTCACTTGTTATATCCCCTATAAGTTTCTCATTACTTATAAGTTCCTATCCAATCTTTTGCGTTATTGTTGTTACTCGAATCTCATATAAACTTAAAACCAAACTCACTGTCATCGAGTTGATCCTGACTCCTGGTGACCCTGAGGGACAGGGTAGAACTACCTGTGGGAGTTTCTGAGACTGCAACTCTTTGTGGGAGTAAAACACCAAACAACTATACGTACAACACAGTGACCTAGTGCCATGTGCCATCCTTACAACTATTGACATCTTTGAGTCCATTGTTGCAACCACAGTATCAATCCATCTGCTGGAAGAGTTTTCTCTTTTTCTTGGGCCTTCTATTTTTCAAGCATGACATCATCTCTAGGGACTAGTCCCTCCTCATAGCGCATCCAAAGTTTTTGAGACAAAATCTCATCATCTTAGCTTCAAAGGAGTCTTCCTGCTGTCCTTCTTTCAAGACCGATGTGTTCGTTCTACTGGTCATCTCTACTATATTCAATCGTATTCACCAACACCGTGATTCAAATACATCACTTCTCTGATCTCCCTTAGTCATTGCCCTGTTTTCCAATTCAGATGAGGTGATGGTGCATACCAGGGCTTGGGTCAGGGGTACTTTCATCTTTAAAGCGATGTCTTAACTTGTTAAAGCTGTAAAGATTTTCTCAGTGCAATTCATCTTTGGTGTCTCCTGACACATAGTTACTGTCCCTTCAATGGAAACAGTGTCCCCGCTTCCTCCCCAGGTTCCTCGTTGCTCCTTGCCTTTCTCTCCTGCCTTCTCAGCTTTGCTCTTGGACCTGCTGCCCTTGTGGTCTCATAAGGTGGGTTTTTCGGAGGAATACCTTCCTCAGAGGTGTGGTTTGCTCACTCTATAGGGTTGTAAAGGTGTCCAAGGGCAGTAGTCTCACGGTTTCCACTAGCAGACCAGTAGATCTGGTCTTTTTCATGATGTTGAGTTTTGGTCTAGGTTTTCTTCTACTCTTCAGGCCTTCTTTTTGTGTTCTTGATGAGAGTGGACAGTGGGGGTTGCCTGGTGCCATCTAATTGTTCTGATTTGGAGGTAGTGGAGACATCGGCTCCCAGGATCCCTTAGTCTTTTGGACTAATGTTTCCTTTGGTCTTTGAATTGCATCGTTCATTTTTTGTTACAGGAAAGGATAGACCAGTAGTTATGTCTAAGTTATTTGCTTGCTCTTAAGATTCCAAGAGCTATTCGCCAAAGTACAATGTATAACATTGTCTCTGTGAAGTAAACCAAAATCATATCCATTGAGTCATTGCTTTCTCATAACAGCCCCCTGTGGGTTTCCCACATGGTAACTGTTTACCGGAGTAGAAAGCCTAGTCTTCCTCCCATAAAGCTGCTGGTGATTTCGAATCGCTAACCATGAGTTCGCTGCCCAACTGGCAAGCAACACTCCTCTCTGTGAACTAGGCCATCTCAATGGGCCTAGACGTCTCCTGAGGCTATGGCTCTAAGCCTTCAAGCCCAGTGACTCAATCTCTCAGGGTGTTTGGTGATGCCTTTGAATTTGTCATACCCTGTATATGCTACTGACGTAGACACACTCCTATCCCCACATTTAAGCAGAACGGTTACAAGAACACTTTTCCTTGGGAGCATCGTCCCTGCTCCCTCTGACCAGCCTCTGCCTGGCCTGAGGTAATGTTTTAACATCACGATGGGCCCATAGAACAATCCTTGTTTAAACTACCCCTCTTTCCTCACCAAGGGATGCTGTAAGTCTTTCTCTCAGGGACAGGGGTGTTCATGTCCCACCCCCATTAGGAGGGCACTCTGGAGGCAAAATCCAGAAATGGGGACATAAAACAAGGCGCCTGAAACTTTACCTAAATATACTTTTGTTTTACTTCTGTCACTACCCCTTAGTGATATATGTATTTTAACTTACTTTTTCGTCTACTTTCTGTGTTCTACCCTCCCTGAATACTATAAAAGAGGCTTGGCCAGGGAAGACAGGGCTGTGTCCTGGTGAAAAGTTCCCTTTGAACCGATCCCACTGCAGCCCGGGCTAGCCTGACATAAAAAAATAAAGGCTTCAATCATTTTAATTGGACATTGTAGCGGTCTTCTTTTATCCGAACCCACAACACTACTATATGCATGTATGTATTTGCCACATAAATACGTGCTTATTTGTAGTGCGTACAAATATTCTATGCCTAATCCTGTATGTAGTAATGGTTGCACTCCCTTATGCCGTCCCACACCTGTTTAGCTTGTTTAGGATATTTACCTATGCATATACTCATAAATTATTTTTTATTATAGTTATTGCAGGATTATGTATTTAGTATTATTTACCAGTGTCGCATTTTACTCTTGTATACCACCCACTCTTCTTCTTTCCAGTGGTCGTGCTATGCTGACCTCTCCCTGATTCCAGATTGCATTTCCCATCATCCATGTCAATGACTGTCTTACTCTCTAGTTAGTGAAAGTCCTACTTCCCCTCCCATCCCTTGTAACCATCCAGGAATCTTTATTTCTGTGTGTAAACATATTCTGGATATTTTATAATAGGGGCTTCAGACAATATTTGTACATTTCTGATTGACTATTTTCATTCAGTATAACATTCTCTAGGCTAAGCCATGTTATGAGATGTTTCACAGTTATCCTTTAATTTTGCATAGTGTTCCATGGTATGTAGGTGATGTCGTTTCCTTATCTATTCTTTTGTTGATGAGCACTTAGCTTGCTGCCATCTTTTTTTTTAATATTGTAAATCATACTGCAATTAACATATGTGTACATATATCTCTTCATGTCATGACTTTTTTCCTCTAGGATATAAACTCACCAAGTAGTAGGATTAATAGGTCATACGGATCTCCCTTTCCAATTTAAGGCAACACTTTATTGTTTTGTACAGTGGTTGTACCATTTTAGAATGCCATTGGCAGGGTCTGAACGTTCCAGTCTCTCCACATCATCACCAGCATCTATTGCTTTCTAGTTTTTTTATCATTACTATTACTTCCGAGGTGAGGTAATATCCTATTATTCATTTGATTTGCATCTCTCTTCTGGCTAATGGTGTTGAACATATTTCATATCTGTTAATTACATAAATGCATTCTTTGAGTGTCTGCTTATGTCCTTTTGCACATTTTTAAATTAAATTTTGAAGTTTTTATTGTTGAGGTGTTGAAATTTTCTAAAAATTTAGAGATTTTTCTAATTTTAGTCTCTTGTCAGATATTGTTGCAAAAAGAAAAATCCCAGCCAGTAGATCCTCTTCTTACTCTATTACTGAGCATAAGTATTTAATTTTTAGGACTTCCCATATATCCAGCATATTTTCTGTGGTTTGTACATTTTAAATTTATACATGGTATTCTATTTGTGCCATATATATTAGAGTCCTAACATTGTCCTTTTTTTGCTTCCATGATCTTGCTTGTTTTAGATTTATATGTAGGTCTTTGATCCATTTTGGGTTAGTTTTGGGGTGTGACATGAAGTATGAGCTGTAAAGTAATGCTATACAACTCCTGCTCCTGTTTCACATTTCCCCTGAATAATTCTCTGTATCTTCATAAAGATTCTCTCAGTAACCACGTCATGAAAATATCCATCTTCATGTCAATAATTCTATCATGGGACAATTGGTTTGTTAGCAACATTGAAAGGCCAGCTCAGGATTGTATACTTTCACTATACTTATTAAATCTCTATGCTGAGCAAATAGTCTGAGAAGCTGCACTGGACAACGAAGATTGAGGCATCTTAATTAGGGGAAGGTTCATCAGCAATCTGCAGTATGCCAATAGAGCACCTCGTTGGCTGAAAATGAAGACAATTTGAAGACCAAAGACTGTCAGAAGAATGAACAAGACTGTCTGGGAAGTACAGTCAGAATGCTGCTTAGAAACAGGGAAGGTGAGACTTTGTCTCCTGTACTTTGGACATGTTACATGAAGATGATGCAGGCCAAGGTAGTTTTGTTTTGTTGTCCGCAGAATGACCATGAGTCAGAACCAACCTAATGGCACCTAACAATAGGCCACGCAGTTAAAACTCACAACATGTAAGGCTGCCAGGCATTATTAATCCTTATCCTTTCATTAAAAAAAAAGAAACAAAAATAATTACTCACCACACCTTTAGTAGTTCTGATTCCTGCTGCAATTGAGAAGGACCCTGAAATAATAAACTGGTAACAAAATGAAAAATTAAGGAAAAATGTTAAGCAGACATTTGAAGTTATACTTTACCCAAATGTATCCTTACATTATTAGATAGAGGTTGTTTATTTTGCCAACCTGGCCGACAAACACATGTGGGGTTAACTGAAGGGCAGAGGGATAAATGGCTCAGTGAGCCTTGCCTTTCTAGTTCTCGGGTCTCTTGCTTTCTGATGGTCGGACCAGGGTGCACCTGCCTTAACCAGTTCTCTGCTTCAGCTGGCAAGGCTCACTTCCTGCAAGACATCCCTGAGGAGAAGCCACATGAACCTACCCTGATGCAGCCCTGGGTGCTGGAGCAGCCGTGTGGAGACCCCTGCCAGCGCTGAGATGCTCACACATGCTCACTGATTCGGCTTTCCTCCTGCAGTCCACGTCATTGTATGTGTTTTGTGACATTGAGGAGGGCTTTGTAGATTGGTGTCAGATATATGGGCTAATGTTGGACTTGGGCAGCACTGGGTTGGGATGCTTTCTTAATGTATACTTACTTTTTATATAAAACTCCTGTACATAAGAGTTTCTGTGGATTTGTTTCCCCAGTTTCCCCAGACTAACACACATTAGATAAAAATGTTAAACAGAACAATTATGTTAGAAGAAACACGAAATGTAAATAGTTCCCCCACTTCTCAAGAAAGAACAGAGAAATTCTAACAGAGGGATTATTGGAAAATTTATCAGGCCTTTAAAAAAATTGCTAAGTGCAATAGTATTTAAATAGTTCCAGACCATTGAATTATAAAATTTCCAAATTCCTTATATGAATTAGCCCCATACCAAATGTGAACAAGATATACTAAACCCAAAGCAGGAAGACATTTTTAAGTTTCATTTAAAATATTAATATTTGCACGTAAGAGACAATTGCTATAGTTTTGGGGTCAAAAAGTCACTTACAACCCATTACAACCTACATATAGCAGAACGGAGCACTACCCAGTACTGCTCCGTCCTCATGACCACTGTTCTGTTTGAGCCCATCGTTGCCTCCGCAGTGTCAGTCCACTTCATTTTCACTGACCCTACACTCGTTCCAACACAAGTAAAAGGGTAGCAAAGAAAACTTGCTTCTGTCAAGTGGCTTATTAAATGGTTAGAATATATTAGTTCCGTGAACTCCAACAATTACACAAATATTTTCCTTTTGGATAGTATTATAAGAGTCAACTCAATAGGCCTGGGACTATTTCACTGTTTGCGTTTCAAAGTTTGCTTTTTGACTCTTTGATTTCAAAAAGCATTGTATTTTGACACCCACCCACCTCTCCCCCCCCCCCAACAAAAGACTTATCTACACGTTACCACGTGTAGGTCTTCATAGAGTTTTAAGGCTGTGACCTTTCAGCAGTGAAATACCAGGTTGTCCTTCCAGTGTGCTCCTGTGTGGTTTCAAAGTGCTAACCTGCTTGCTTAGACCTTTGGGCCACCCAGGGACACCTGCCTGGATTGTAGAGTTTAAGGACAGCTGTTACTGGCATCATCGTATTATACAGAAAAAGCACTCTCAGAAATAGGTGAGTGTTTGCTGCGCTTCAGCATTGTGCTTCTGGTAAATAGGTGGAGGGGAACCCAGATCAGCTGTACGACTCACTTTATTCCCAACTGTGGAGAGTTAAATAAATAGAAGCTCCCAGAATGCCTGATCATTCCCTGATTCTAATATAGATATGGTTATAACTGTTTTGTTCCCTGTTAGGAGATGAAAATGGACATTTTATTGTCATTCATGTTCTTATTTTGCATAGAAGTCTGTGGTGTTGTTTTGTTTGTTTGTTTTGTGAGGAGCACTTTTGAATTTTTCTGAATTTTTATTTTTAATGATGTTTTACATTTTACTCAACTATAATTAATGTTATTAAACTTATGAAACAAAATTGATTGAATAGTCCCATTTGCTAACCTAAACCATTTGCTAACAATCAATAGTCACGGAGCCAGATACTGTAAATTATCTCCGTAGTGGTCACCTCCCTTCCTCTTCCTAGCTAACAAAAATTCTCATTTTGTTTAGTGTCCCTTGAGCTTCAAGATATAGTGAACCTTTCCATCATTTTAGTGATGTCCTCATTAGTTCAAACCAGTAATGGCAAGTCCATCACTCTGGCCCATAGTTCCTTGGGGATTATGCACTTGAAACATTTCTGAACACTGGGTTGCATCAAAAAGCCCGATACCAGAAGACTTCATGTGATGCTATCCAACCAACTTACAAATGACTTGCCATGGGCCTCATTTGAAACCATCAATCCTTTCAATATTGAAAGAGAGCCTGGGTGGTGTCCTGGTGACATGTTAGACAGGGATACTCATGGTTGGCAGTTCAAAACCACCAGCAGCTCCTCAGGAGAAATATTGGGCTTTCTGGTCTCATAAACACTTACAGTCTTGGAAACCCAAGTTGCTATGAGTCAGCATTTATTCAATGACAGTGAGTTCAGTTTGTTTGTTTATTTCAATACTTAAGTCATTGTGGGTTGGGTCTTCAGTTACACGTGGCTGTGAGATATGATAACTAATATATATTAAATATTTTATTTGCCCATCATTCTATATCCTTTATAGTATCACGAGAAGGAGTTTAGGTATATTCCTCAGGGTTATAGGATTACAAGTTAGAAATAGTTGTTTCAGAAGGCACTCCACTTACCATCACCGAGCCCCAAACTGTGTACGCCATGAAGACAGAAATGGGACTACGACCATAAAATGGCAATGTGGCACACATCATTATTATTCCCAAGCTGAGGTTCATCAAAGCAATCAGGATCTGGACAACCTAGAAATGATGACAAAAAGTAAAATTTATGAATCGTGCCCAAGTCACTCCCTGCGCCAAGCACTGAGTTACTCTCCTTTTCAATCTTTCAAAAGAGTCAGATGAGCTTCTAGATATTCTTACATCAATTTATCTTTCATATAAAGAACTGTGAATATGGTAACATTGAAATTATCTCTTAGCATATCTATTTTTTTCCACAGAGATTTCAAATTAAGAAAGACTGGGCCTTATGATGCTATGCTAAGGGTGGCTCTCCTTTGTCACATGCCCACACAGGGGAGATGAAGGAGCGAGGAAAAACTATCTTCCAGCAAGGAGGAGTGGCCTGAAGGAAGGAAAGTCCAATCCATACCGGGAAAGACGAGAAGAAAGCAAATACGACCATTTCTTGGGGCCCAGACCTGCAGTCAAGATTTTGAGCAGAGAGGTCAAACAAACAAACAACAACAACAAACGGGGGTATGAGTACAATACTCCCATGGTATTAAAAAAAATTAAAAGTGTCCGCAATAGTTTTGTCCTGAGGCTTTGAACCCTGAGCTATAAAAAGAAAAACAGGTTCGTGCTAGTAGAAGATTCACCGAGTCTCCTAGCATGAACATGGCTTTCTTTATACCCTCAGTCCTTTAAGAAAAATCAACCTCACACTCCGAAGGGGAAATGCCAAGAGGACAGGAGAGCGTTCACCATCTGTGGAGAAGGACTGAGAACGAAAAAGACTCAGACGGAGATACGAACAATGGCAGCCCGTTAGGTATCAGGAAGACTGTAGAGGGAGTGCCAGCTAGTTCACAGGGCCTTACCTTCTGCTTCTCTTCCATAGAGAAGTTCCTTCTGTTTGCTCTGGATGAAGCACATGGGTTAGAAGCACAACATGGTAGAATATTGTGCCTTTTGCCCCCCAAGTGATTGGACCTGAACATCAAACACTGATGGCTGAACATCAGTTGATGTGTTTTCAGCCAAGCTGTTGTTGTTAAAGTTGGGTGCCCTTGAGTTCGTTTCAACCCCTAGCAATCCGCTACACGAAAGAAGGAAATACTGTCCTGCCCTGCACCAGTCTCACAACAGTTGTTATATTTGAGTCCATTGTTACGGCCCCTGGATCAATCCGTCTCATTCAGATTCTTTCTCATTTTCTCAAGCATGATGTCCTGCTCCACACTAGTCTCTTACGAGCCTGTCCAAAGTTCAGGAGACAAAGTCTCGCAGTCTGCACTTCTAAGGATGCTGACTACCCTGTTCCAAGACAGTTATTTGACTTCTTGGCAGTCCAGGGTACTTGTCAGTATTCCTCTCCAGCACCACAATTCAAATGCGTTGATTCTTCTTCAGTCTCTTCCTATTCATTGTCCAACTTTCACATGCTGATAAGATGACTGAAAATAGCAGGGCTTGAAAGAAAATACCTCTTAGCCCTCCAAGTGAGATGCTTGTTCTTCAACAGTTTAAAGAGGTCTTGGGCAGCAGCCCAGTGCAATACATCCTTTTATTTCTTGACTACTGTTTCTATGAGCATTGATTGTAGATCTAAGCAAGCTGAGATCTTTGAAAATGTTCAATATTTTCACCATTTATCAGTCTGTTGTCGGGTGGTCCAGTTGTAAATATATGTTTTCACTGCAATCCTTGATTTTCATCAGAAAATGATTCAACAAGTAAGGTTGTATCGTCTACATATTTTGGATTATTTATAAGCAGTCTTCCAATTTTGATCATGTTCTGCTTATAGTCCAGCTTCTAAGATTGAATAAATATGGTGAAAGGATACAACCTGACTTTACTTTTCCTGTTTTAAACCACAGAATATACCAGTGTTTTGCAAGAAGATCTGCCTCTTGATCCATGTACAGGTTCCATGAGTACCGTGAAGTGTTCTGGAATTCCCATTCTTCTAGATGTGATCCAAAGTTGTTGTTTTTCATGATACAAATGCCTTTGCATAGTCAATAAATCACAAGTAAACATCTTTTTATATCTTTTCCTTCAACCATGATGCATTTGAAATCAGCAATTATATCCCTTGAGATATAATCCCTCTCAAAATTCAGGTGAAATGTATATACATTATAAATCATTTTATTGGAGGCTCTTACAGCTCTTATCACAATCCATACATTCATCCATGGTGTCAAGCACATTCGTACATATGTTGCCATCATCATTTCCAAAATATCTTATTTATGTGAGCCCTTGGTATAAACTCCTCTTTTTCTCCCTCTCCCCCACGATCCCACCCTGGTGAACCCTTGATAAATTATAAATTATTTTCATATCTTACATTGTCTGCTGTCTTCCTTTGCTCACATTTCAGTTGTTCATCCTCCTCGGGGCACGGGTTATATGTCAATCATTGCTGCCATCAGTTCCCCTTTCTCCCTCTTTTCCCCCCACCTTTCCCCTACCCTCCTGGTATCACTACTCTCATTTCTATTCCTGAGGGGTTTATCTGTCCTGGGTTCTATGTTCTCTTATAAGTGCCAGTGTACATCCTCCATTCTAGCCTGATTTGTAAGGTAGAACTGGGTGAGGGGGTGGGGCGGGAAGCATTAAAGAACTAGAGTAATGTCATGTGTTTCATAGGTGCTAAACTGCACCCTAGCTGGCTTGGCCCTTCCTTGTGACCCTTCTGTGAGGGGATGTCCAATTGTCTACAGATGGACTTTGGGTCTCCACTCTGACCCCCCTTGTTCACATCAATAAGATTGTTTGTTTTGGGTCTTCTGATGTCTGATACCTGATCCCTTCGACACCTCATGATCACAGAGGATGGTGTGCTTCTTCCATCTAGGCTTTTTTGACTCTCTGCTAGATGGCCACTTGTTACACTTCAAGCCTTTAAGACCTCAGATGCTATATCTTCTAATAGTCAGCATCATCAGCTTTCTTTACCAATTTGCTTATGCACTCATTTTGACTTCAGTGATTATATCGGGAAGCTGAGCAGCATGGAATGCCAGGTTACTAGAACAAAGAGTTCTTGCATTGAGAAAGGAGTTGAATAGAGGCCCAATGTCTGTCAGCTACCTTGATACTTAACATATACATATATGTACATAGACCCATAGCTCTATCATTATATATTAATACATTTACATATATACATGCCAATATTTATACCTCTATAAATGTCTTTTGCCTCCTAGTTCTTTCCTCTATTTCCTTTTACCTTCCTCCTTTCCCACTATCATTTTCAACTTTTATTTGGCTCTCAGTAATTCCTCTCAGCTACATTTCACTTGATCAAACCCCACCAGGCATTCTACACCTGCCTCACCCTCGATTTCAGATCTCTTTTTGTTCTCTTGTCCCTGGGTTTGTTGGCTCCCTGTCCCTTTCCCCCACTGTCAGTCCCATTGTTTTCTCCTCAGGATTGTTTATCGTGCCTATCTTATATCGATAGACATGAAAAAAGGGAGGGTGGGATGGGGCTATAAATAGTCCTTCCAGGTCTGTCTTCTGACCCTGATGTATATTTTCTGATCCAGACTGATGAGGTGTCCAGCCCTGCACTTCGAGTCTGAAGTCTGTCTTCAGGATTTTGACTCATGGATTTGTTTAAACTTTCTTCAACTTCAATTTACTGTAACTTACTGTACTGGCCTACTGTAACTACAAGTTGACAGTGTGTGGAAGCTGTCTGACTTCTATGGCTGGATTTGGATCCTGCATCTGGTTCATCAGTCTCCTGTTTTATTGTCTGCTGATCCCATGAGCCGTCAGTGGATTGCCAATCTTGGGTTCACTTGGCCAATCTCAGATGCATTCAGCTGGGCATCCACCAGCCTGTGATCGTCCTGCTTCATCTTCCTGCTTCCTGTTCACTAGCCTCTACAGCTCCAGGTGTCAGGAGAAGCCTTCGACTTACATCTGACCCACACTCTTGAACTAGAGCAAACATAACCACTTCTATATCTGCGTGAGCCATTTCTTGTTAGAAATCTCTTTCTATACACAGCTATAAGTGCTACTGGTTTCGCTTTTGTAGAGAACCCAGTCTAACACGGTGACCCTGCTAACATTTGAAATACTGGTGACATAGTTCCAAGAATCAAGTCACGGCAGTATGACAAACAGAGAGAGACAAGTGGTGCTTTGAGGCTAGGGAGAGAGGGTAGTTGTCATTAGGTCTGATAAGTGTTTGGATTACAACATCATTGATCTTCTCCATGATTGGTCCCTGACTTACCCCGAGGATCTTGGGCTCACCCTTCAAGAACTTCTCTGCCCGCCCTTTCCATAGATATGACTTTACAGCAGCTGGCTGTCCCATTTGGGGTACACCAGGGTCAAGTTCTGATGTGGTTTGTTGCATTTTCTGCAGGGTTGTCAGGGCAGCAGAAAAGGTACTACAATAAAAAAATAAACATAATTAAAAGTTAGTTCTAGAAATGACAGGATAGGAGCACTTTGGGGCATTCTCCGATATAAGACAATCCCTGTCTGCCTTCCTACAGTAAATTATAACAGCTGTTAGACATTTAAAAACATCTTAACAAAAGGTCAAATCCAAACTCACTTCCATCAAGTCAATGTCAACTGATACAGGGAGGGTGGAGGGAGGATGGGGTGGAAAGGGC